TAAGATGCTATATCTAATTAAATACTTGATGTCCATTTTGAGGTCTGACACTTTACAGACCTTTAAAAAAAGATTTAAAACATACTTTTAATGGATCTGTTAAGCAAAAAAGTACTGAAAAATACCTAGGTGGTAGTAAAAAATAAAATATGCACCTATTATTAGCGTAGCCACACATCAACACACATATAAAATGACTGTTTTTACATATTATATGAGTTTCCTAATGCCATAAAATTACTATAGCAAATAACCATAAACTTAGTGGCTTAAAACAATAGAAATTTATTATCCTACAGTTCTGGAGATCAGAAGTCCAAAGTGGCTAAAATCAAGATGTAGGCAGAGCTGCATTCCTAAAGAGTCTGTTTCTTGCCTATTTCAGCTTCTAGAGCTCATAAACTATTCTTTGGCTCATGGCCTCTTGAGTCTTTCTTACATTTCATCATTGACACTAAGTCTTCTGCTTCCCCCATCCACACTTCATTTAAAAGGCCCTGTAATTAGGCCTCCTCAGACCCAGGACAATCTATTTTTAGGTCATCTGGGTAGAAACCTTAATTTCTGTCTGCAACTTGAATTCTTTCTTGCCATGTAACATAACATGTTCACAAGTTCTAGAGAGATTAGGATGTGGACATCTTTGGACATTATTGGTAGGCCATTATTCTGCTTACCATATGCAGGAATACTTTTTCCTTTAGTTTTCTTCAGGAATTCTATGGACTGTCATCCATCTCTGAAATTACATGCAAACTATCCACATATATGCATTATTCTAGAGAAAAGGTCTATAACTTACAACAAATTTTCAAAGTTTAAGAATCAGTGAGCCAGACATGGTGGCACTCTCCTGTAGTTCTACTCAGAAGGCTGAGGCTAGAAGTGCGAGGCTAGCCTGGGCAACACTGGGAGACACTATCTCTTTAAAAAAAAAGAATCACTGGACCACCCCATAGAACACCAGTGTTCCTTAGAAGCAATTTGGTGGTGTCAACAATGCAAAATTTCTAGCCTGAGCAACATAGCAAGACATCATCTCTACCAAAAAATTAAAAACTAAGCTGCAAGTGGTGGCACATGTCTGTACTCTCAGCTACTCAGGAGGCTGAGGCAGGAGGTAGAGGCTATGGTGAGCCATGATTGTACCACTGCACTCCAGCCTGGTAGACAGAGTGAGCCCAACTCAAAAAAATAAATGCAAAATTTTGGACTAGCTTTTTAACATGTATATTTTTAACTATAATCATAAAACCTGGATATGGGTTTAAAGTTTTTTTTTATTGTAGTGTTTTTCCTTTGTGTGTTTTTACAAGGATTATATATATGGAGAGAGAGAAAGAGCACTCACCCATGTACAAGCAAATGATGTGGGTTTTCTCTTAACTATTTTTATTTTCGTAACTTTTTTAAAATTTGAAATTATTTCCAAATACAAGGCCTTGTTTAAAAAAAATAATGTCTACCCCAGAGAAACAAGACCAATAGGAAAATAAAAGGAACTTGAAAAACCTATAAGCAAATTGTTTTTAAAACATTCACTAATGTATACTGTTTTCAAGTTACTGTTTCAAATGTTTTCTGCTTCAAGAGTCTGCATTCTTTCTTGAAAGATGAACAGACCTATAGCTTTTACTGTTTTATCTAAATAAGTTAAAATATTGAGGCCACCCGGGCTCGGTGGCTCAGCCTGTAATCCCGCGCATTGGGAGGCCGAGGTGAGTGAATTGCCTGAGCCCGTGGGTTCAAGACCCGCCGGGGCAACTTAGCGAGACCTCATCTCTATAGTAAAATCAAAAAATCAGCCGGGCATGGTAGCGCGTGCCTGTAATTCCGGCTACTCGGAAGGCTGAGGCGGAAGGATCGCTGGAGCCCAGCAGGTCGAGGCTGCGGTGGCCGGGAGCGGCCACTGCACTCCAGTCTGGGTGACAGTGAGACTCTAACTCAAAAAAAAAAAAAATTGAGGCCATCATTCCATCAGTTTTAGCTTACTCATTAGAAACAGCAGGAGCGGAAAAAAATCATTGAAATTACAAGACCTCTATCCTCCACACCACCCATACTTACCATTCATTTGCTGGTGACTGCATAGCAGTTTCTGAGAGCAAAACACCAGATTTTAAATTATGACTTCAGTTCTATTCTTATAACAAGTAAAGAGTAAACAGAGACACAAACTGGCTGGGCAGAAGGGGGTAGGAGAGATGATTAACTCTTTACTGAAGAAAGCAGAACACTTCTGCTCTAATTGAGTACCTAAATAATTTAGTTCTTACTTCTTATAAAGTACATCACTTTGTGGAGTATTAAAGTTCCAGGCAGGAATTCTTACTAGTTCTGTACCCATGAATTTGATGGTCTAAAGTATAAGCACTTTTCTTTTTCTTTGGAATTTAACTCGGGAATTTGCACCCTCTTGTGGTCAAACATAAAATTCTTAGTTTCAAAAGACCATTTTTTTTTTTTGCCCAATAGGCTCTTTGTTCTGGCATAGGAACTACTGTATGTTATTTGAGTTTTTCTCCCATGTTAGGGAATCAGAAAGCTTTCATGAAGGATTATTGGTTTATTAAGTAAGATTTTAAACAAAATTGGACTTAAATCTTCTAAAAGTGACCTCCACATAAACTTTAGTCTATGCAAATAGAGATAATAATCGTACCCACTTCATGTTATATGAGGATTCAATGGGAAAATGCATGTACATGTTTAGCACAGTGCCTGACACACAGTAGATCCTCAATAAATATTATCATTTCTCAATGTCATCATCACTTTGAAATTCTCTTGACAGACTATATCTAGAAGGGGACTAGATTAAAAATTCCACAGTGTGGAAACCAGGTTGTGTTATTTACCTATTTGTGAAGTTAGTACAAAATTGCAAATAAGTTCCCCAAATATACCATTTATCCAGACTTCCCCTAGCTGATTCTCCCCGCAAGTAATGTGTGTGTGTGAGTGTGTGTGTGTACATACACATTATTAATTTTATTTTAAAGATGTGGGGTACAAATCAAGATTGAGTATACAAGTGGTCTAGGACATTATTTTTTTAAATACAAAGAATATGTGATTATGTATAGATGTTAGAAATTTGGATGGTTTTTACTTTCTTTATATTTTAGTTGGGCCTTTTTTTTCTTTAATAATCAGAAAAAGCAATAAAATATTTCAATTTTCACATATTATTCTTATGAAACGATAAAATAAGTTAACATCCTTCCTCACCTAACAGGAATCATGATTCAAATTTGGCAAAAATCATTTGTCAGACTGATTTATCATTTTAAGGAGTTCTTGAACAAAAATGCTAACCTCTAATGGCTCTAGCTATAGTCAGACTTTTAAAACACCCATTAAAGAAGTCATTTTAAAAGATCAGTGTTAATTACCGACTCACAACAATAATTAATATTTACTAATATGCCAAGTACTGCTGAAATGCCTTTAATATATTAGCTCACTTATATCCTTACAACAACCCAAGGAAGTGCTAATATTACTGTTTTACGACAGGTCCAACAGATAAAGTAATTCATCTAAGGTCACAGCTAATAACTAGCAAAGCAGGGATTCAAACCCAGGCAGTTTGGTTCGAGTCCACCCCACTAAAGCAGTGCACAAAAGTGCCACAAAGACTGAAGGCCAATATACTACTCTGCCATATTACTTCTCCATGACCTCAAATTGCTAAAATCTATTTCTTTTCCTTCTTCAAAAATGCAAACCATGCTACTATTCTCCCGTTTCCTTACTTATTAGTACTTTAGGCACTTCTACATCCATTGTCTTATTTAACCTTCACAATGAAAGTATTAAAACACTGACAACTTTATCATCACGTATTGTCCTATCATAGCGCCCAGTTTTTGAAGGTAGACACATTTGCCTAGATTTGGGCTTCTAATTACCAACTGTAAGACTTTGGGGCAGGTTTCTTAAGCTGAACTTAACGTGTCCTCGTCTGTAAAATGAAAATACCTACTTCTTAGGGTTGTTGTGAGCAATAAACACGATGAATCCCTAAAGCATTTATTGAGCACGGTACCCAGCACAGTACACACGCAGTACGTAGTAGTTGCTACAAGTTTATCAATGCATCGCATAACAGAAGCCCATCTTTATTGGATTGTTCATTAACACACCATTAAAAAACAATTACCTACGTGACCACCCCAAAACTGCTCATTCCTAGCTCCAAAACCGAACAGAAAGTTTAAGACGGTAAGCGAAATTGGGTTCTGTGGGAACCCCTTCGCAACAGGCAGTTCAGGACAGGGGAGCGGGGTTCCGGCAAACTTAACCCACCAGTGACTCCAGGCCGGCGCGCACACGCAGCCGAGGAGACGGGAGGAAGCCACGCCTCCTGTGTGTGCTCAGGTTGGATGTACAGCGTGTTAGAGAATGGCCCGGGCTGTTGCATCTGACAGATGCGAACACTAGTCCCCTTCCTTGCTCACTGTGCTGCCTGAGGCAAATCACGTTTCTGAGCCTTGGTTTCCTGGTCTTCAAATCAGAAAAAATTAATAGCGCCTACCTCGTAAAAGCTGTCCTGAGGTTTAAGTGCGATCGCTCCGATAAAGAATTGGTGAGCGCAAGAGCTCTACACCCTGGTGGGACTGTTTTAAGTGCACGTGTATCCCTACCCATGGACTCAGACCGTTGTTTGCAGTATAGACACTGGCTATAAGACATTTTTATTTTCGCCGAAACTGGACCTTTATTTGTTGACCTCGAACAGTAGACTAAATGCCTGTCGACTCTGCTAGATATCTGTGCATCCTCGGGCCCACAGTCTCTGCAGTCACTCCGCCTCCGCTGCTGAGCAAGGCGGTGCACGCACGCGCAAGATAAGAAGCAAGTGGACTGCGACCGAGGAGGAAGCGAAGGTAGAGCCGCGAACGATGATGGTTCTGCGCATGTACATGGCGGGGGGGGGGGGCAGTGGTAGGGACGTGCGCATGCGCACCATTGTCGGGCAAACCAAAGGGGGGGTCAAGAGGCGGTATTGACAGCTGTGGAGGCAGCCCGCGTTCCCGGCATGCCCCGGGGCGGCGGGGTTGGCTCTAACGAATTTGAATGAGGAGCCTCAGCGCTTTCGGCGCCATTTTCGAGTGATGCCTGATCTCATCAATCTAGCGGGAGAGACGGGCTAACCTGTCCGAGAGTATAGCACCACTAGGACTCCGCCGGAAAAAATCACTAAAAAAATCGCCAAAAATTACTCGGATCAAAGGGCAGTCGGCGGAGCTTCGCCAAGGTTGGCGCAGTCGGTAAGAGTGAAGAAGTAGCAGAGCGGGACTCGGGAGGTGGCAGTGGTGGAACCCGCAGGCGGAGGGGGGTGCAGGGAGTGGACGCCGGCTCTGCCCTCACTTGAGTCGCGAAGAATCCCAGGAAGTAGGGTTGGGGTGACCGGGGCGTCTGCGAGGGGGCTGCGGCGGGCGGAATGTGGCGGGAGCGCGGGGAGACGGGGCCGTGGGGGGAGGGGAGCTGCAGTTTGGGGGGGACGCGGCCCGGCTGCGACGGAGCAGCCGCCGCCCAGCGGATCTGTCAGCAAGACCCCCCGCCGGGGCCGGGCGCGGGGACAGCGCGCGGCGGGGTCTCCGCGGGCCGCGGCGCCTTGACTGGAGCGGGGGACTCGCGCCCCTCCCCCATTTCCGAACCCGGCTGCCTTTTCCCGCAGTTTTCCCGGCCCGCTGAGGGCCGTGTGCTCCTGACAGGAAACTTACGGTCGGTGGGAGATTCAGGACCCGGAGCGGCGGGTGCCGCCGGCCGGTCGTGCCTACCACCACCACCTCGTCCACCTCCGCCCCCGGCCCCGACCGGCACCCAGCCGTCGACATTGTCTCGGGACTCTGAAGCGGGGGTGCCGCGGGAGCGAGAGTGTCCCGAGCCCTCGCCGCCTCCCCCGCGCGCCTCGGTCCCCGGAGGTCGCGGGCGGCGGGCGGCGGGCGGCGGGGACCGCGGCGGGCAGGACCGGCTGTCGGAGGGTGCTGGGTCTTGGGGAGGATGCTGGGCTCTCGCTTCTTGACGGAGGTTTTTGTCGTTGGCCCTCGCAGCGTTGTCCTTCGGGGGTGTTGGTGGGTGAGATGAAAGCTGGGGTTTCGAGCCGGCGGTCTCCTCCGAGTCGCACTTTTCTTAGAAGACTTTTTCCTTCTCCAGTCTTTGAAACATGTCGCAAGGGGAAAAGGCAGTCTCTGAAACTGTTGGTGTTCTCCTCCTCCAAAAGTCTTCACCCGCACAGCCTAACGGTAATCTCTCAATCCCCACCTTTTCCTGGGAACTGGCTCCGGACGCCGGGGAGGAGGGAGGGGGTGATATTTGTCTTTCCCTTTAGGGATTTTTTCCCCCTCCTTAGCCGTGGTTGCTCTCACTTCTTCCTCCGCAACTCTTGATGCTGTGAGCCAGTGACGGCTTTAGCTTTAGGCAATACTTTATGGCATCAGATTAATTCCGCATTACAGCTCTCTTAGATCTTGAGTCCCTTTCCGCGCTGAAGACACCCCTGGATTAACCCTTTGCGGGCGCGATGCTCCGCGTGTGGGGCGCGCGGCCCCGGCTTGCAAATGTTCTGGGGATGCTTTCTGCAGCCGCTGTTCTTTTGAGTTGTTCGGAAAGAGGAATAACGCTTCCTGGGAGCCGCAGGGACACATTTCTTGGATTGCCTGCCGACCGAGTCTTTCCCCCTGGAACTATGTGACGAGTGATTGATTTCTTGTATTTCTATGAAGAAGGGGACCCGCCCTCACTTAGACTCTTTCCCGGAGGAGGATAGGAGAGCGCGATGCGATGTTTTTCAAATTGTATCTAACGGAGCTCCCAAAACACTGGACTTGTTACCCCCTGATTGGCTGGAAGGAAGCGGGACTAGGGGGTTTGAATGTTGAACGCTAGATGATAATTCTCGGCTTTCCGAAAAATTATATTTGTAGTCAGAGAACCACGGAAATAATTACGAAACGTTAAGACAAAAGTTATTTTTTTAAAAATTGGTGTTGAATAGTTTTTTTCTCTCCTCAATAAAGGACTTTCCGGTGGTTCTAAAATGTATACTAAAAGTAAAACTGAAAAGGCTGTTTTCAAAAAACTGTATTTCTGCTGGCTGAAATTACAAGACTTTGTATTTGTTCCTGTGTATTGTTTGAAAACTGAGTAAAGGATTTAGTTATTTTCCTTCGATAGGAATTTTTCATCTCAAACCACATATATTTGTTGAATGCAGATTACAGGAAATTTGTTTCTTTTATTTTGATGATAAGAAAGTTGAGTTTTCTTAATGTTAATGAATTGACTTTTCTACATTTTCCGTGAGAATTGAATACATTTTTAAAACTTTTCACATCTAATTTAAGATAACATAGATTTTACTAATTCAGTTATTCCAGTGAACTTTAAAACTTTAATTTACAAGACATATATGTTAATTTACACAGTACAACAGGTAAGTAAGCACAGGTGCCTATATATATGATTTCATTCCTTTGATGCATTCATTATGAGGAAATATATTGGATACAACAACGTGGATGTATTGCATTTTATCTGGTTGGTTTTCAGTTGATTTTTGTTTAATATTGCTTGCGACAGCCGTCAATATATTTTTATTTATTACTAAGCTTGTCATTCCATTTAATTACATCGTAATAAAAGGCGAGTGGGGTTTTCAAAGAAAAGCGGTTCAAAAAAGCTCACTGATAAACAGATAGCTGTAGATGCTTTAAGAAAGAATTGTTTTAAATTTAATAGGATGTATATCATTTTATGATTAGTAGTTAAAATTTTTATATATGGTTTATATTTTCTCACTAAGTCAAACATGCATTGTTAGAAAATACTCAGAAAAATCTTCTGGCTTTTATAAATCTCTGTAGGGCTGTAAATGTAATTTATATTAATAAGTAGAATACCTGAGTTTATAATTAGTACTATTTTGTATTGCTTTCAAAGCAAGACTTGTGATCACAGAACCCATGTTCATTTCCTTTTTTCAAAACTGTTTATTTTGGATCATCTCATGAAAATTTCATAAAAGGTGCTAATTATCCTCTCTATAAAATTTGATTTAATGAAATTATAGGAATCTCGTTGCTATTTTAAGTGTAATTATACCTAAAGTACTAGACTAGAGGGTTTTACCTTTTACTGTTGGTTTTGGGTGTTTTGTTTTATTTTTTTTTCATTCAAATTATGTGACTCAGAGTTTCTTGGGGAGTGGGGAGCAGCTTTTAAATTCCACTAAACTGGTTAAATTTAACTGTATTTTTTTTTAGCGCTTTTGGTTTATGGGATTTTTGTTTGTTTGGAGTTGATGGGTAAAGAATTGTTTTGTTTAACAATTCATTTTTAAAAGAAATGAAGGATTCCTTTATTTAAAATATTCACATAAAGCTTGAGAATACACTAGCTCCTAAATAAAATCCACAGCATTCAAAATATTTTTATGTGATGCTACATAAGAGAAAGATTTTGGTTTTGGATTTGTGGATATGTAGATATAAGTTCCAACAGATGTATATTTTTTAATGTTTACATGCACTTATCCGTATTTCTCTGTAGAAATTGATATTTCTGCTTTATTTCCTCTTATATTGTAAGGATTAGAAAAGTCATTTATTACCACAGGAAAGCAACGTTGGGAAAAAGTATTGCTACAACAGCTCACCTCTTTTAAAAGCTATATTTACACACTGTGAGGGAGAGGGAAACAAGAGAAGTTAAGGTATCAGTCTTGCTGGTAGCATTGATTTTCATTTGTTTGCCCATCAAACTATTTTTTAAAAATTTAAATAAAAGTGAAATTTCAGGCTTTTTTTAATGCTGCTGACTTGTCTTAGTTGTACGTTTACAAAATGTAGTCTCAGGTGTTTGTATGTTATGCTGCATTTTTTTCTAATCAGATTAATATCAATTTTAATATTAACGGCTGCTAAGGATGAAAATTTCAAAGTAACTTTCATATTCTGGATTCCTTGTTTTCATCATGCTTTGTGTACTCCATTTTTGTTTTTTGTTTTGTTGAGACTGGTGTATATCTTTGTTTGTTTGTTTATTGGTATGTAGTAAGTAACCATCCAGAATGTCACAGAATACTTCAAGCCAGAATTATCGGTCAGTTGATTTGGCTTAATGAAAAACAAAATTCCCAAAGACAATATTAGATATTCTACATGACACATTAGCTTTCTTCTATTAAGAAATCTATTAGATTGCAAATTTATACAGTTTCAAAAGATATTCTAAAAATCTGTCTCCCTCATCTTAAAATTGACTCTTATCTTTTTTCTTTTGTCTGATGAAGTTTGCTAATCCCTGCATTGATTTTTTTTTCCTTAACCCCTTTTTAGTAGAAATAGATTATGAGTCTGATTATAACTAGAAAATGCATCTTAGAATTGTCATGTTAGAGTATTCATGTAGTTTTGTGGGGTTTTTTTGTTTTATTAATTCAGCAAACTTTGAAACATTGTGTGCCAGGCAACTAATTTTGGCATGCAATTAGAACTCAAAAACTACGACTTGCTGAAATTTTGCAGCCCCAAATCTCCTAAGACTAAAGGGAATCAGTAGTAAAATACCACTTTATTTCAAATAAGCCTTGAAAATGAGATTAAGCATTTAAGTTTTAGAAGTGACAGCATTAGAACTTTAAAGCTATGACTGGCTTAATAAAAGTACATTGATTTTAGAATATCACATTACTGTTTGTTTATATAGTAATCTGATTATTTACAAGTACAAATGACTATATAGATCATATAAATATTGCTTTCTGATGGGAATTAATTTTTTTTAGGAACCTGGAAGTTTTTTTGGTTTTTTTTTTTTTTTTTTTGGTCTCTATTAGAGATGCTTTTAAGACTCTTCCTTTTTAAAAGATAAGTTCAAAGATCGAAACTGATATTTTATGTATATATACTTGAGTTTTATTCTTAGTATTTCTTATCAAATTATGAGAAGTTTAATATACTTTTGTTTAATCCTGCCTTACTTCACTAAAGAATATTTTCACTGGAAAGGCTTGTAGTGGTTTCTAAGTATAAAAAGTAAGCTATATTTTGAATAGATTTGAGTTTTACTATTTGAAGGTTTTTTCATATCTTTTTTTTACACACTGGTTTGTTTATTTTATGTTTAAATCTCTCTTCCTTTATTTGTATTTTTTTGTCTCCCTACTATTTAAAAACTTAATATTTGGCATGTAGTACACTTTTTTTTTTACTGTTTTCTTTTTATGATTTTTAAACTTACGATATCTTAATTTTCAGAGTGCTCAAATATATCTTTAAAGGAAGACTATGTAAAAATGATTTTAATTTTTAAAATGTCATGATATTTAGATTGATGTTTATGAGTTACGTATGCTTGTGTGGTTTTTGTCATTAGACAATCAAATATTTGGCAGCAGAGGAATAAAGGTTTTTTGGTTTTCATTTTTTTCTTTTCCTAAGCCATTCTTAAATAAAAGTGGAAAACTAGTTCAGGGCATTACGATTCATATGTAGTACATTATAAACCTTTGGTAGTTTAATAATTTAATAGTTTCATATAGTTGATTGTCACTAAATCATTAAGATTCAGAAAGGTGAAGTAAATAAAAAAGCCACACATATATATACACATTCATTTGTAACTTAATTCTACTTGGAAAATTTTAAAAAACATTTGATCCAGTAGTGGTCCATTTATTACTTGTCAATATTTGTTCAAAAAATAAGTTACACATTTTGATCTGTTAGAACTGTGATGTATTAAAAGATTTGGAAAGGTTAATATTTTTCACTTAGGCTTGACTAAAGACTAAAGTTGAAAATAGTAATTTCTGTCATCATTAAAACGTTTATTAATTTGGGAAGAGTATTAAATTTTGTCTCTGCCTCGAGTAATTTTTTAAATTGTGTAGTTTTAGAAGCACAAACTATATTTCTGAGATTTTTTTTCCTTATGAAGTCCCCTTCTATCAGTCCTCTAATATAACTCTCATTCACACTGCTTTGAAAATGAATGCCCTAAAGAGAAATGAAAGCAGAAACATATTAATCTGATTTGTTTGAAGAGGCTTCGGATGATAAAGCATATCACAGGTGTTTCTAATCAAGTTATTTCTATTTTAAAACATTATTTTCAAGTTAGAGCTTCTTTGAACATAAGCGAGATTGGGGTCATTTTGAAGACCTTACCTCTGTGTTCAAGGATCAACTGTGGAACTGCAGGAGATGGAAATCTGTTGAGTGTCTTCATTCTATAATACATGACATTTTTATTGCAGGTTTTGACCCGTAGGAGAGAGCCAGTTCTGGAGAACAACCTAACTTCTTTGATTGAATACTCACATAATGCATTGGAACATGATAGGAGATTAAGGTATACTAATGAATGTTAAAAGCTTATAATTTTAATTTTATATCTTTGCAATGTGATTAGACTAGACAATTGGAAAAGCCAAAACTTTACATAAACTAAAATCAACAAATAATTATTAATAGATAGAAATCCTGTGAAGGGCCAAAACTGAGTTGCCTTGGTTATTAAAACTCCAGATTTAAAAAAATATACATACAATTGATGTTCTCATCATCTTGTATTATAAGGTCCAACTCCAATTGAATTTATTTATTCCAAAAATAAGTATATATAGTCATTTTTATTTTCTTGACACTGTTAATACAATGTAGTAAGAAAATAATTAAATAGTGGACTTTTCATCTTATAAAAAAGAGGGTTTAAGTTTAAATCAAATGGAATTTGGTGCTTGTCTGATAGGTAGAGTAGTGGGTAGAGCCTGCAAAATTAGATAAGATTAATAAGAATATTTTAGGCAATATTAAAGTATTCCAAGTACAATCCTAACCAAAAGCAGCAATGTGGTTGAAACTGAAAAACCCACTTTCTTAAGCAGAAACTACTAGTATCTTACTCATAGATATTCTGAGTAAAATATTTAAGTTGTTCATATCAAAAGTTGCAGTCTCTAAAAATAAAATTGTAGAATGCCTAAACTTCCAGTTACTTTTATTGTCTTAACCTACAGAATACTTTATCACAGAGCCACTTTAATGGCATATTGGTTTTTTAAAATTTTTTATCATTTTAGTTGAAAATTTCAGATAGTATTTAACTAATACAATTGAACTTACTGAACAGTATTACTAGTGTTACTTGGTTAATTCTTTCATTATTATATTTTATCATAATATATATTTTAAAAAGCTATTTGCTAAATACAGTGAGGTTTACTAAAATATAACATAGAACAATTTTTAAGATTTTTTTCACCTAAAAATATTTATATAGTCAAAAGAAATTCCAAAGGTTTGTTTTCATGAGAAAAGTATAATTTAGTCTTAAGAGTAAAGTGTAATTACCATCGTGATCATACAACCTCTTTCAACTTTAAACAATGTAAATTTTTTTTTAAATTCTCATATGTGTTTAAGAATGTTTGAAGATACATATCAAAATATTAAAAATTGAAATTTGATATTTCTATATTATTAGATATTAGATAATCCAGGAATGTGAATTTATTAACAGTTGAAGTTAAAATGTTAACATTTGATCAATATCAAGGTTTAATATAAGAGTGAAGATCCAATATTTTTATATTGGTGTCATACTATAAGGTGGTGGTGGTTTGAGACAAATAGAAGGTATAGAATGTCTTCATATGTTTTATTTGAGAATGTTATGAATAAACAGCTGAGTTTGAATAGGATGAAAATAATAGTTTTTCTCCATTGACTTAACCAGTGAATTTCAAGTTAGAGAACATTAAGTTGAAAAGTGAAAAATATGGTTACTTGAACGTATAAAAAAAATCTCAGTTCAATTTATCACTTTGAAAGTATCAAAACTTTTTGTTTAGACACAAATAATTTGGCATCATATAATTGCCCTCTCTATAGTTATATACTAGCTTATAAACGTCTAAAAATGTAACTAAGTAAATAATATCTAAAAGAATCAATATAGAGAGTAACAGGTTTCTAGTATTTGGTCAGTTCTTACAGGGTGAGAAACCTTAACCTAATTAGTAGTATGTGTTAGCAATTGAGGCCAATTAACAAAGGCTTCAACTATGCTGTATGATTGGCTCCCTTTTAACTGCCCCTTAAAAGGCATTTTGTAAAGATTTTCATGTTTTAAATTTGCAAACTTGACTATCTGTCTTTAAATAAGCTTTATATGTGATTCACTATGTCAAAATTTGGGAGAAAAGATTCGTTGTGTTAATGTTTGTCCTTTTTTTTTCAGTGATAGTTTTGTATCTCATATGTTCAGTGCTTATATATTTGAATAAGTGCATTATCAGAGTTAAATAACATTTTTTTCAGGAAAAAAATCTTAATTGTCTCTAAAATATGGTTATACTGTCACTATTGAAATAGTAGTTTTGGGGATAGAAAGAATATTTTAATAAACTAGAAAAGAGATAGCATATCTATGTGTGAGGGAATTTAAAATTATTCATTGTCAGTGATGTGTAATCCTAGCTTATACGGATAGTTTAAGCAGTTTGTCAACAATTACAGTTTTCTTTAATAGAGATTTTATATGTTACTGAGGATTTGTTAGATAATAGGTACAATTAACTTCTTAAACAAATATTTTTAAAGTCTTTATTGGAAAAAATTTTGTACGTGTTTGTATTTTATGTGGTTTTCTTGAACTAGCAATAACATTCTTAATCTATTTCTATTTTTCTTTTTATAAGACTTAATGTATCAGAATTATGTTTTCTGATAGGCATTTTTCAAAAGACTATATTTAGTTAATATAAAGGTTTAAAATTTTTATTAAATACATTTTAAAGTGGAATTTCTATTCACAGCACCACAAACCAACACATTTGATATTTCATTAACATATATTATTTGGTTTAGTTTTACTTTACTATTTTCATGGTTAGTCACTTAGCAGAGAAACATGCATCATGTTTCAAATGTGGTTGCTGAAACTGATTAATCCCACTGGTTAATAGTTTATTAATCCATTACTATTTCTAAATGTCTTAATTTTTAAAAATCCTTTTTTAATGTTTGCCGTCTTTTTTATTGTATAGCTTTCATACTAAATAATTATTTATATTTAAAGTTAGCTTGTGATCTAAAGAATTATTTTTATAATTAATATTTGTTTCTCACTGAGCTGCTAAGCAGAAAAATTCCTTTTTCAATTTTTATAAAAATAAAACATTTGAGTTTTTTTGTTTTGCAAAATATGATGTGAATTTAAAATTTGCTGCTATTCCATACTTTTATTTTTAAAAGTCTCAAAGTTGGCCTTCTTGACTAGGTATTATTATTTTATTTAAATTTACCAGCCAATCCTAGCCTATGTGTGGATTTTTCTTATTAATAACTTATAGATGTTCTAATTTTTCTGAATCAAAAATTGCTTAAGGTGCTGAAAGATGAGTTGCATAAATTTCAAGTTGTAAGTCTATAAGTAGCATCACATATTTACAGGTAATTTAACAAATATTTCTATTTCTGTTATTTATCAATTGATATTATACACTTACCAAGTTTTTAACTTTGTGTAGCACATTTAAAATAGATAAATTGCATGTGGATTTTTTTAATGGTTGGGATTTTTGCAAAAATGATAGTGGTTAAGCTTTTAATTTCTTTGCTAGTAGTATCTTAAGTCAAACATGGTGTTGATTAGATGTTGGATACCTGGGAATTAGGAGCATTTTGTAAACAAAATAAAGTGTTTTTTTTTTTTAATTGGAATTTGACACTTTCTTATTTTCCAGGAGAAAAAGTAAGGAAGGTGCTATCTTTATGAATTCACCATGACACTAGTTAAAACTCTTCAGAAAATTTTTATAATTAAGCAATTAAATCTAAATTTACAAGGTGAAGATTATTAAATATGGTGTAAATTTTTTTCCTTGGATATATTATAGATTTCCTTTCTAATCAAAACACCAATTTTGTCTTTTCTTCTCCTCTCCCCACCTGACTTTTTTAAATAAAAAATTCCTTAAGGAATTTTATCATACAGTGATGTAAGCAGACCTGGTAGGTGAGTTGAGCTAAAACCATTTTTTCTCTGTGTTAATTGCATATTCTTTTCTCAGTTTGCTTTATAAGAAGCAGCAGCAGCAGTGAATAAACAAGTTATCACCACAGCCCTTGTTCTTATCCCTTACAGCTGGGAGCAGCGTCTGGGAGATCGCTGCTGCTTGTCAGCTGTTGTACAGAATAACATCAATATGCAATAATGGTGACCACAGGAGCCTGCACCCATTAGTTTTTACAAACCGGGTGGAAAGGGCCCAACTATCAGTGTGCCACATATATAGTATAGAGAATACATTGTGTGACAGAAAGGTATTTTCTTCCCAGTGCAGCATAAAGAGAATAGTGGAAGCTTGTGGTTCTTAGACTCTATTTTTACTGTTTTCTCTGTAGTTTTACTTCATTTTATTTTTATTCACTTAATAACATTTGTTAAAATGTAAAACTGTCTTGCTTTTGCAAGTATGGATAGTATGTTTCGTGTTTTTTTTTTTCTTTTAAGCTGGTAAAATTATTAATAATCAGTTGCTGATACCACAAGTTAGGTAATATATTGAGGAAAGAAAATAAAAGTTGGCTATAGCCACACAGGAGCGTTTCTTTCACTTTGGGGCCATATTCTCAGCCCATATTATCTTTGTTTTATAGCCTAGTCTAAGCAAAGCCAAGTTCTTATTGATTTCACTATAACAAGCAAAAAGAAAACAACATTCTATATTACTTAGTTTTGTAAATAACTAAAACCAAAGGAGGCCACAGGTTAAAACTTATGTCTATTTTTTCTCATAATTCAGCTATTTACTTTTTCTATTATTTACCATATTTACGATTTCTCATTATTAAAATGTCTTTTTTCTGAACTTTTTACCTGGAAAATTCAGTTTCTAAATTTTTTTGGAAATGGCACTTTGTACTTTTAAATAATATAGAAGAATGTTTTTTATTTTACAACTTGAATTTGCCTGAATTTGTATAACCTAAGCATGCATATATTTTTCTCCTCTCTTATATATCTAAAAACTTTCAATAGATTATAGTTATAAGGAAGTGAATATTGGATTTCTATTAAAACTTATTTTGTAGAATTCTTAGTGGGAAACTACACATGGCGTTTTGTTTTAGTGTAGAAACCTCATGTCCCAAAAGTCTCACATTTGCAATAAGCATTCTTTTTAAAAGGTAACCATAGGTTTTTCTTCGTCATCCTCATTAAAATCACTCCTGATCACTCCCACTCTTACTTAATATCTTCCTTTACCAGACAAAGTAAACTAGGAATATTAGTTCCCTGTTAATATTGCTAAAAAAAAGTTTTCTTGGGCAACCCCCTCAGGTCCCCTCCCACTGGGGGAGCTTTTCTGTCCTCTCAAAAAATCCTGCTTTCAAAAAAAAAAAAAGTTTTCTCATAGTATGTGCTTAATTATCTGATATAATAAATGAGCCCACAACCTGTTCTGGCATTATACATACTTAACCATAAATATTTCTTTTTTGTTGTTGTTGGCTAAAGCTAGGTTTCTTTTTTCTCTCTCTTAATATGTTGATACAATTTAACAGGCAATGTATTAATAACTTTTACCTCTTCTTAACCAAAAAATGAGTTACATAATCTTTCTACACCCTGTTTTGACCACTAATTACTGCTTAGTCTGTGGACCACCTGTACTAGAATAACCTGGAATAAAATATTTTTCTATAACTGCTAAATCAGAATCTCTGGAGATGAAACTCAGGAATTTGCTTTTTTTTTTTTTTTTTTTTTTTAACAAGCTCTAAGATTTTTTTTTTTTTTTTAGGAACACCACATGTGAGAAGCATTGCCCAAAATGAAATGGGGAAGATTGTTCACAATAAAGCATTTACCTTTCCTGCAACTTCCCACCCCGCTTTGGTCATCTTTGGTTTAAGCTCAATGTTTAATTAGGAATCTTATTATTTCTATAATAAGAGTTCTAGATTGAGTCTTGGTATTTCCTCAATCATATGAAGAAAATCAGTGTTTTCAAGGCTTTATTTTTGTGCATGTACCTTGGGCCACATTTTAGTCTCTTCTATTTGTCTGTAACCTATGTTAGACCCACACTTGATGAAAACAGAAGCAATTGATTATTTAAAAAATTTTAAATTTTTCATCTAGTTGGTAGCTATTTTTCTTAAGTGTACTTCCAAATATTGGAGGAAATATAAAAGGGAAAGTTCATATGCTGCCTGTGGGAGCATTTAGCAATATCCTAGTAAAGTTGAAGGTATAAAAGGCTCGAACCCAACATCATTTCTGGATGCTCTAGATAAACAAGTGTCCATAAGTTTTTTTGGCTTTTTTTTTTTTTTTGAGTTGGAATCACTCCGTTGCCCAGGCTGGAGTGTAGTGGCACACTCATGACCACCCCAGCGCCAACTTGCTAAGTTCCATTCATCCTTCTGCCTCAACCTTCCAAGTAACCAGAACTACAGGCACATGCTACCACGCCTGACTAATTTTTGATTTATTGTAGTGACGAGGTCTCGCCAAGTTGCCTGGGCAGCTCTCGAACCCGCAGGTTCAGGCAATCCACTCACCTCAGCCTCCCAAGGTGCTGAGATTACAAACTGAGCCACCAAGCCCAGCCATAAGTCTTGTTCGGAGATCATTCTGTCACCCAGACTGGAGTATAGTGGCAGGTTACAGCTCATCACTGCTTTGATGTTCTGGTTTCAGGTGATCTTCCCTCAGCCTTCTGAGTAGCTGGGACTGCAGGTGTGTACCACTATGCCCAGCTAATTTTTATTTATTTATTTATTTTTGGTAGAAACAAGGTCTTGCTATGCTGCTTAGGCTGGCCTTGAACTCCTGGGCTCAAGTGATCCTCCTGCCTCAGCCTCTCACAGTGCTGGGATTACAGATGTGAGCCACCATACCCAGGCTATTTTTATTTTTAACAGGAAAAAGATTGAAAGCAGTGTGAATGTTAAGCAATAGGAGAATGGCAAATTGTAGCATAGTCATGTGATGAAGTGTATAGCTATTAAAATGAGAAATGTATCATTATAGGTGTATATCCTACTTCAGTAAACAAAAAACAAGTTGCATAAAGATTACATGCAATGTAACAATTATATAAAAAATATGTATGGTATACCATTTGTATAAAGTGCGAAAGCAATGATACATATTGTTGAAATAATTGAATTTGTAATAGTGTAAAAACATGTATAGGAAAAAATATCAAATTCAAGATTGTGATTGTATCTTAGAGAGTGGAAAAGAATCAGATTATAGCACACTAGGGACTTCAACTATATGTGTCATTGTTTTTCTTCAAAAAAAATCTAAGCAATCATAGCAGAATATTATAATTCAGTAAAGCTGGATTTGGGGATTCAGGAATAGGATATAGAGATTCATTTTTATATTCTCTTGATTTTTCTGTTGATTTTAAAACAAATGATTTTGACATTTTAAAAATGTGCTTTTTTGTGAGAAGATATTCTGCAATATAATGTACCCTTGGAGTGCCCCATTAAGAGAATGGATGAGTTTGTTGTATTCTTTCTATTCTGTATCTTGTAGTTGGTGTCTATGGTGTAAAAACTACACTTTATAATCATGGCCCACAGAAACCAAACATTTAACCAACTCGAGTTACTAGGATATCTTTAAAAAGTATTTTATTTTTAAAGATGAGCTGTTGTATGTTTCCTTTGTGTACTGACTTTTAATCTTTCCTATTCTTGTAAGTAAAGAATAACTGTGGTAACAGTTTCCCTTTTCTTATCACTACTCTGTTTTACTTTTTGATTCAAGCAATTTCACAACTGTATTTTTTTGTAGTTGTTTTGACCGTAGCATCATAGTATATTATTTTCAGATTCTTTTATGCATTTTAAGCTCCAACTTAAGCTTTGTATTTATACTCTATATGTACTGTATTACAATAGAATTCTTGGAATTGTGCGATATACAATATATGGGTTTTTGATTTGGGAATTGTATATGTATGTGAAAGAGAAGGATTATTCAATTTTAGGATGTGATCTTGAATTTATCTTAAAATATCTGCAACTATATGGTGTCCTCCAGACACTGAGTGTGCTGTAAGTTAGACATTGAAGTATGAATATTAATTACACTTACTTTTTTTACTTAAATTTCAACAAGGCAATAGTAATAGAAAAGGAAATTTTCAAACTAATGATAAGGCACTGGACTAAAATATGTGTAAATGCTGCTGGATGTTTATAATCTGTGATTATTCTGTGCTGTATAAGGATCAGAAAACAATAACTATCAACCTTAGTTGAAAATGTTCTGACATATAATGTGATAAAAAAATTTTAAAGTCTTCCCTTTTATTATCTTTTTCCTAGATTTAATAGTGGTAAAATGAAGACTATAATAAAATAATCCCTTGCTTAGCCCAGAAATTCTTACCTTGTAAGTATTCACTCTCAGTTTCCCTACCATCACTATGAGAAGTTGTTGTTTGGTGTCATGTTTTAGTTTATTTCTGACTTTTTTTTTCTTCTACTTATTCTAGTATGGTAACTTCTAACCCTTCTAACCCTGTACACACTGAAGTTTGATGTTAATTTAATCCAGTTTAGGGCAAGAATAATGCCATTGCCTGTAAGTTATCCATTTGGGGAAATATTTTATAGCTGGGCCATATCATTTCTAAACCTGAGAATCACAATTTTGAGCCCTTTTCCTTCAAAGGAATTTATAAATAAGTAATAGTCTTTTTTTATTATTATCATTATTTAGATTTATTGATCTATGGTTTTATAAATTGAGAGCATCTTTTCCACCTGATAGTTTTTTTTTTATTTGTTTTTACATTTCATTAGATTACACTTTAGACTTCTCTGTGAGGGGCTTAACATTCAGCTGTTAAAACTTGAGTAGATGGGGAAAACAAGAAGACAATCCCTTTTCCTTCCTTTTATGTATACACATGCATACTACTTTCTTAGAATAAGAAACATTTTTCTCTGATCCATTTAACTTCTGAGAAACTTGTAAGTTCTAAGGGGCTAATTCTAACAGGTTAGCTGAAACTAGTATTGTACCCCTAGAAAAACTCAGAGTTTTTGTCATGTAAAATGCACAAGATACTTATCTCCCTAAAAGTATTTGAGACCTAAAATCAGTTACCAAAAGCTTAATTTCCGTCCATTCCTTGAGCTTAGTCTGCACCTCTAAAGAAAAGAACCTCTAGTGCAAGACTTTCTTTTCTTGATGTTAAGACATGGCTCTATTTAAATGAAACTAGTATTTCAGATGCTTACATTATCTCACAATGATTCAAATAATGTGTATGTGTAGGAGAGTGATCTTATGATCATAGATGATCAGCTACTGAACTCATTAAGTAGTGAGAATTTTTAAGGGAGGAATCATTAAGTATTAAAAACTGTTAATAATAATCCAGTTTGCAAAATAGTAGCCAAATGCCACAGGAACTTTCTTTTTCTAGTTTTCTCTTTATAATTTTTGTCTCTGGAAAATTAGAATGGAAACATTTGTACATCCCTAAAGAACCCTGTAATCCAAACTTGGGTTCCTTAAGCTTCTTCAGCCTTTCTTTTAAACTTTTGGAAATCTTTTTGATTGGTATTGTATTCTATAAAATGAAGGGCAGTTTACTTTTCAAAAAGAAATAGGTATAATTTAATTTCTAACATTTATAAGCATAGATTACCTCACATTCTTAACTTCATTTCATCTATAAAAATTTCGAAGCAAAAAAAAAAAAAAAATTTCGAAGCAGTCTTCTGTGAATACTCTTCAGCAGTATTTAAACTTAGGCGATTTGCCATATTTCATAGTTGGAATTTTTTGTGTTGCGTGTTTTAGGTAGTATGCCTGAAGTTCCCTTTAATCTTAGATATTAAAATGGTAGTGTTTCTAATTAAACAGTACCAGAAAAATAGATACATAGTAATAGTAGTCAGTGATTCTCTGTGATTATGTGTGTCACCCATTCTCTAACTTTTTATTTGTGTAATGCTGTTGTTTTTTAATATGGGAATTTTTTTCTTAAGCTGTTTATTCATGGAATCTGGAGGTTCCAGAGGTTGAAGAATAGTAGTGTTCGTATTTTTAATGTTATCAAAATTAAACAATGGTGATGTTTTGTGTTTACTTTTATAAACTGAGTAAAGAGATGGAATAATTTTTAAGTTTGTTTTTCAGTTTAAAGATCTAAAATTTTTGTCGTGTAACAAAAAATTCAGAAATAATTGTATGTCTTTTCTTTTTTCTCTTTTTTCTTATTTTTACATTTAAGTTTTTGATACATATACTTAAATTATATATTTCTGTTACATGAGTTTAAAATAACCAAATACATCATTTGGTGCTTTAAAAAAATCTTTAGGTGCATTGCCAGCAGTTAAGAGCATTACACCTATCTTTGAAATAATCTACAACAATAAAAATCTTAAGACATTGGTTTTATAAATAGAGAAACAGATGATGAAGCAGAAAATTCACCATTCAGTGCTGCCGGTGTTAGTCCTGTAAACAAAAATTATGAAGATAAAATTCTTCCTAATTCAGGAGATTATTAAAGTTAGATGCTATCAAGAGCTAGGCTAGTAAAAAGAAATTACAGAAACTATTTCTCAAAAAAAGACTAGTAAACAAGATAAGTTTTTAGAAGGGTTATCAAGTAAGCAATAAAATAACAATGGTATGTAACCATAACAAGCTACAAATATTGTGTTGTTAGATTGTAAATAATATAAATGTAGGACTTAATGACAGTACTGCAAAAAAAAAATCAGAATGCTTTACTCAGTAGAGCAGTAAGTAATCAATGATACAGCAAATGATATAAAATCCGTTGTGCTTTTAATAAGACTGTAATGATATATCATGCACTAGACATAGCTCAAAATTCTATTTTTTATTTACTTGTGATAGAAATTTACTCTTGTGTAAATTGCTGTATACTCATCAGGAAATTCTAATTATCTTGAGTAATAACTTATATGGGAATGTTTCTGGGAGATAGGAGAAAAACAAATTTTTCTTTTGGCAGTTGAATTAGTGGTGCAAGGTGTTATAATTCAAAGCAGAAAAATTCATAAGATATCACCTACTGTCAGCATTCAGTGGCAAAGAGATGTTTTATAAATCGATACGATAAATTGCCATTAATTTAGTGTGTGTGTGTGTGTGTGTATATATATATATATACACACACACACACACACTCACACACACACATCAAATCGAGGCTCATAAGTTGTGTACATAGGGAAAATTCGCAATATGCTACAGCTGTTTTTCAGTCATTGTTCAAATAGCTGCTGTTTTTAGAATTAGACAACATTTAATCAAAATACCAGGTGTTCCTTGTCCTTAAAGTCATATGTTTGTCATATATATGTTTAACATGATTGCATTAAATCTAAGCTTTCATGTTTAAGCTATAGCTATATTTCTGCTGTCAACAAATTATAGCCACAAAATTTGAATTTTAGTGTCAAAATTATAGAAAGGGTTTAGGTTCGTTTTCCTATCCTGAACAAATTCTCAGCTTCACAATGGATAGATAATTCAAAGCAGAATAGTAGGGAATTTTTTATTTATGAAGTTACTTGCATGTCTTCTTAGGAAAACAAAAAGCAGAATTTAGCAGTATGAGGCCTGGTTTAAATGGAAAGTAAATGTACAGTCAGGTACAGTGGCTCACACCTGTAATCCCAGCACTTTGGGAGGTGGAAGTGAGAGGATTATCTGAGCCCATGGGTCCGAGGCCAGCCTGGACAACTTGATGAGACCTCATCTCTACAATAAATCAAAAAATTCACCGGGCGTAGGAGTGAGGATCCTATTCAAAAATAAAATAAAATGAAATAAACATGCAAATTTAATGAACTCTGGTGTAATAAGGATTTCAAGTTATAAGCATAAATGCAATAATTAACATCCCCAGACTATTATTCTTGCCCTAATCTACTATTCACTGGTCTGAAACTTTAAGAACTCAATTTCCATATAAAAACAGTAATAAATTGAATATGGAATTGAAATATATGTTCATTTGTCAGTAGTTATGCCTGACTTTTTTGCATAGACTATCCGCTTCACTTTTCCTGTTATATCCAGTATGCATGCTTGTTTTTATATTATTAAGGCAAACTTCTTTAAAATATCTTTGATAATCTCATTTTCTCATAGTAAAATTATTTGCAGCTTGTGAGAATGAAATGTTGATATGTTTAGTAATATGTACTACAAAAAATGTTGTAACTTTCAAGTACTCTACCACTGGTCAGATTTCAAAACCTAAATTTAAAATGTATAGGAAAGCTGGGCTCGGTGGCTCAGCCTGTAATCCCAGCCACTTAGGGAGGCTGAGGTGAGTGGATTGCCTGAGCCTACCGGTTCAAGACCAGCCCTGGCAGCTTGACGGGACCTCATCTCTACAGTAAATCAAATAAATATTATCATGCATTTGTATGACTATTATATACTTACAAATTTTTAATTTACAATAATTTGTATTCATTAATTTATTTTTCAACTCATTTATTCCATTTCAGAGTTGTGGGTAGTCAGAGCCTAACTCAGAAGCTCAATGTTCAGAGTGAGAACAGGTTGCCATTCTATCATAGGGTGCACTCAAACATACACTCACACTCACTCATACTTGGACAATTTAGGCAAACTGGTTAACTTAACATGTACATCTTTGGGATGTAGGAGGAAACTGGAATACCCAGAGAAAACCCACATAGATTTGGGGAGAACATGCAAAGTCTGCACAGGCAGTGGCCTCAGCCAGGAATAGGATTTTTTTTCTTTTCTTTTTTTTTTTTTGAGTTAGAGTTTCACTCTGTCACTCAGGCTGGAGTGCAGTGGCATGCTCACAGCCATCACAGCCTCAACCTGCTGGGCTCAGGCCTTTCTTCCACCTCAGCCATCCAAGTAGCTGAAACTACAGGCATGCACTACCATGCCTGGTTAGTTTTTTTATTTATTGTAGAGATGAGGTCTCACCAGGTTGCCCAGGCTGTCTCGAACCTGCGGGCTCAGGCAATACTCTCACCTCGGCCTCCCAAAGTGCTGGGATTATAGGTGTAAGCCACTGTACCTGGCCTTTTTCTTATCAATATTAAAGCAAAATGATAAAAATTGAATAAAACAATGTGATTTGAGGACCTTCTATATATAACTTTGTCCTTTGGTCTTTGGTCTGTCTTCTAAAAATAGTTTTTATATGTTTCTCTAAGCTGTATATACCCAGGTATTTCCACACTATGGTAAATAATATGAATTCTAGACCACTAGTATCCTGGATACTCCACTTTGAGTCTGCTACATTTTGTTAGTATTCTATTTAAAATACTGTATATAGCGCTGAGCCCAATATACTTAATGTGGTCAAGGTATAAAATACAGTGCATCTCTTATCATGAGGT